ATTAAGTTAAATAGTTATTTATTTATATTATAATTTTATAGTATTTCTATATTGCCCAGTTATACTAAAGATCAACCTTTAGTTTGTTATATGTTGCATAATACAAAAGTGCAATAGAATAGCAAATTCATGAAAATATGCTAACTTAGAAAGATATCTAAATTCAAATAGATTTAATTTAACTATTAATAAATATTATATTTTATCCCAAGTCAAAAATTTTTCTGTTAAGCAATTAAAAACATGTGAAAGTGTTTATTTAAAAAGAAGAATTCTTTTCAAACTCTTCAATACAAGTATTTAACAATTAGTTAAATCTAGAATTCTTGTATTAATAATGAGAATCTATATTTTTTAGTACTTTTTATTATATGATTATTTTTTCTGCAATATTATAGAAGTTACAATAGTTCTAAAATTACTTTTTCATTATTATATTATTTTATTGTGAAAACTTTCATAGCAATGTATAATAGACAAAGTGAAAAAATTTTAAAAGAGTTGCTTGAATTTGGAACTGATAGAAGCTTTCTAAAACAAACATAGTAGAAAAAATTTTACAGAGTTAGAACACAAGTGTTAGAGAATAATTACTTTTTATTATATGATATGGATGCAGTTTTTGGATATAATAGGTATATAGATTTATATATATATAAGTTAGAATAGGCAATAGAGCTTTTGAGAGATAGTAAGAATAAGGCTAAGCATAACAGGAGATTTGAACCTAAGAGAGAATATAAAGAGATTGTTGGATATGCAAAGAGTATAGCTATTATTGATGTTCACAGTGAATCAAAGAAAGTTTGAAAACAGCAAAAAGATTTCATATATGTGTCATGCTCTGAAAATTATAATACATTTAAAATAAAGTGCCTGGGCAAAGAATCTTTGATCATTAAGATTAGAGATTAGATGTTATATTTTAATTTAATATGCATTTATCTTCTTTGATCAAAAATAAATAATAATATATTTCAGATCTATGATACGGACATGTGATTAAAAATGTAATATCGATATTTTATCATAGATCTGTATTATCATGTTGTTGGACACTTTTTTAATAATAAAAAAATTTATTATGGCAACTCTTTTAATTTTCTAAGCAAAATATATGTTTTACAGTATTAAATGCAGTTTGCTAAAGAACATTTCGTAAAAAGTTATAATAAAAGTGCCTGAGGGCATCCCGTTAAGGAACAAAAAAATAAGTAATATTGAGTAAGCCTCATTGATCAAGCTGCATAGCTCTTCAAAACTAAAAGTACAGTTTATTTA